CAGTTTGCTGCGTCCTTTCATCTAAAAGGAGAACGCATGGGCATTTCTTTTATCTCAAAGAAAATTTTGAAGAAAGCAACATTTTAGCACCTGAAAGTAGGCTACAGTAAGTAAAAATCACACCGTGCACATAATTTATCTGTGTATAATATTTCTTAGTAATTGCTTGCCAAATACTGTTTTCCATTGTAACTTGAAGGACTTGACCTAATAATATTTTGATATTATTCCAAATCAGTGGCAGCTGCCAAAAATAAACCAAGATTAGATAGTTGTTGTCTGCTCCAGCTGCCACACATTGGAGAAACCTACTCTGCAGTTGATGGTCTAAACAAGCTTATATCACTTAAAGATTGCAATTTTGTTGTAGCTCATAGCAGCTGTTACTTTGTTTAATATATACATTAACACTTACAGTAGTTCCTGTAAAATCATGTTTATTTTAGAATGACTGTGGAAACAGTTCTTGCTGCCATGACTCTTTGCAAACACACTACGTAACCTATAAATATCTTGTAAGAGTTTGAAGAGAAATAAATTATACTTACCAAAAAATTCTTGTTTTCTAGCACCACGTTCTGGTTTAGCTGCAAAGCACTTCATAGATGTTGGTGGTAAGATTTTTGTTCTTTTTACCAAGACTTTGTACATCTTGATTGGAGAATGGCCTTACTTTCATGTTGTAATACATGTAAATAAGTAATGCTAGTTTCTTTGATAGTTTGGCAAAAGGAGATAACTGGGTAATACCTCAGAGAGTCCATGCATCATAATTATTTTAAAACCGGCTGAATTATTAAAATAAAGATTTTTAAAAAATAACCATATCATACTTTTGTAGGCAGTGTGTGGCATAGAAGACTAAAAAGATGACTTTTTACATTTTGTTCTCTCCAAAACAAGACCCGCTTTCTACAAGTATTTACTTCATTGTCATTCAGTACTAGCAACAGATTTGTTGCGAACAGGATTTTTTTTTAATGTTCTGAACTTTAATTTTGATTAGAAATTTGGAGATCTCTCTTCAAAAGCAGTTATTATGGGCATATCTGTAATCAGAAACCTCCATGAAAGCTTCATGGTCTTGTTGCCATATCACTATAATTGCACCATGAAGTTCAGTTCCAGTTTTGCAGCAAGGCTGATCAGAGAACAGGCAACATCGTGTTATAAAACGTCATCTTTGTTGCACAGAAGTTCTCACCACTAAGATTATTGTGAAGTTCTGAATTTGGTCCAGTTGTCTTGATTTCAGATGGGTATTACACCTAAAACTAGTAGTACAGTGGTAAAACACTTCTTGATATATGGAGATGTTTTTCAGTTCTATTTGCAAGATTGATTAGCATTTTTAGATAATTCACTATTTTCACATCTGTTGTTTCATTGTGCATGAGTTGTATAAAGGGTGTCAATAGGAGATACTGCAATCATCTGCTAATCTAAGCCTTCTCTAATCTACTTATCTAATATACTGACAGCATTTATTAACTGGATATCTCTGTTATTTATTTCTTATGACAGCTGGTGTAATTGATGAAGATTACAGGGGAAATGTTGGCGTGGTGCTCTTCAACTTCAGCAAAGAGAATTTCGAAGGTAAGTATTAAGCTTGGCAGAGCCTGCTTTCAGCCATCTCACTGAAAATGAGAAACTAATTTTTCATGAAAAGTCTATGAAGAGTTCAAAACATGGAAACTTAATGTCTGTTAAGAAAACATGACAAGATTCCACATCTAGCAATTAAGGCAGGATGCAAAAAAAAACCAACCCCAAACGAACAAAGAAAACCTAAAAACACATCACCACTACAAAACCAAACCACAAAAAGTACTTAGCTAAAAGATTTATATTTGTGAGCTGTACTTAAGTGCAACTTTTTATTAAGTTTCTTTCTGGCTCTGCAACAACAACGACAAAAAATTAGCTGTGTTAGCTAAGCAGTACTTGAGATAAAAGCTTCTCAGCTTTTTCAGGATCCTTGGAAACATGAGTAACAAAGATACAATTTTCTCTTAATCATGCTGTCTCTCTGCAAACATTCAGTTTCAAGCCTCAGGGCCCAGCTACAGTACCATCAGTCCTTTTGTGGCCTTTTCTGCAGCTTCACAGCTTAAGCTTCTTACGGAAGTTCTGTGAACTAGACTAGGTACTAAAAAGAAAACAAAATTTCTGCTTATCAGTTGGGTTCTTTCCCCTCCAGACAAATCAGTTCCTGGGACTAGTTCACAAAAGAAGCCACGTTACACCTACAGCTGTCACTCCATCTCTACGGTGCTTCTGCGTAGTGACCCCACAGTATGGCAGGAGGAATCAGGGGGGATGCCTGTAGCTGGTACTGCTGCTAAAACTTCACCTTAAAAGCACTAAGCACTTAGCCTGTATTTTTCTGGGACTGTTAACCTCTGCTTAACTAAGTTTCACATAAGTGCTTCCACTTCCATACATTCTGATGCTCTTATAAGGGGATTGTCTAAACTTAACATTGATTGTTCACTTTTTTTGGAAGGACCTAATAAAACTTTCACTTCATTGCAGTTAAGAAAGGAGATAGGATTGCCCAGCTCATCTGTGAACGCATTTGCTATCCTGAGTTAGAAGAAGTTCAAGTAAGTTGCCAAAAGAAAATATTGTCAATAATAAATGTTTTAAGATAGTTGTATATAAGCTGAAGTTTATGGTATAGATAAATACTTTCCTTTAGAATTGCTTTCTGTGTTAAAACTGCACAGTAGCATTGACGCTTTGTATGCATTTATGTGGATTTTTTCAGGGCTTTTTTGTTTTGTTTAAGTTTTCCGAGGTAACACATACCTGAGAAACACTTCAGCGTGCACTAGAAACGGTTGTCTCACAATGTGGAATTTGTTTAAATTTGTACAAAAGGTGTTCTAAAATGTCTCTTAAAAATTGATGCTTTAGTTTCTCAGTTATAGCTAGTGTTACAAGTAAATGTACCTTCCTCTGTGACAGGCTATCTGTTGTATAGAAACAAAGGCAAGTTAAGACACTAAAGCAACTTATTATTGATGTCTTTCAGGCTCTAGATGATACAGAACGTGGCGAAGGTGGCTTTGGTTCTACTGGAACAAACTGAAAAAGATTTAAATATACATTCTATATTTATTTTTTACGATTGTGCTATTTCTCAATTTTCATTTGAATTAGAAGGGGCATTTTGAAGTACATGAAAGAAAAATTGAGTTTTATTCCGACTTCTCTATTTCTGTCCTCCTGACTGTTTTTACAGGCTGTGAATTCATCTGCATTAGGAGGAAGTCTGCATGACTGGATTGATTAGTTGGTGGAATTTTTTTTTCCTAGCTATTTGGTCCTCAGTAATAAGAACTCACTGTTTATGTGCTATTACATTCTAATAAATTAAAAAATAGCTTCATGGTTTGATTTGATTTTACTCACTTGAAGTGGCTGATTGTTCCCTTGCCAGTTTGTGTTAATGTTTTGAAAGCTACCTCCACGTAGCTCAGTATGTCATGCCAAAAGCCTCTCGTACAGAATCAGTGATAATACAGGTATTAGTATGTTGTCCCACTCTGACCCATAAATCAGATTAAGGCAAAGCTAAAGTTCTTTGATCCTTAGCTGATGCTCAAGCAGCCAGTTTTCAGCAAATTTCACTATTGCCAATAGCGGACAATACAGTGTTTGAGCTAAGTAACAACACTCATCTTTACTTCTGTATAGTAAATAAATGCTATGAAATATGCTGTTGAAATATTTATTGACAAGTTCAATAATAAGTTACTGTATGGAGGAAAGATTCTGAATTATTGAAGCAGTGCAAATTGGTTTTTTCAGTTCTATTTTGACCCAAACCTGAATGTTTAAGAGTGGGAATCTCTTAAATGACTCAGAAGCTTTTAGTGAAAGAACATACGCATGACAAAAGGGACAAAAAGGAAAGAATCCTGAATATTTTGCCACTTTACAGGAAAGAATTAGAAAAGGCTGTGAGGCTCTTAAACTTTTTTTTCCTGCAGCTGCCTTCTCTTTTTAGATTTCCTTAGCTGATAAAGTGCCGTATGTCATACCTGTGACCTAAGTAGTATTTCAGCAGTGGAAATTTAGGCCCTTTTGTAGACTTAAGATGTTCATAGCCTTCTTCTTGGTAGTCTCAGATCATAGTAATCCTATTGGTAATAGTTTCATGTCCTTGTTGAGGACTAACCATTTCCAGTAAAGCAGGCCCAAAACACTGCACATTTTGTACATTTTTACCCTCACCCCTTTTCCCAAGGAACTGGAAAATAAAATGTCATGTGACAGCATTCAGATTCCTTCAGCCATAGAATAGTCAGTACGTTGACTTGGCAGTGCTGAAACAATAGGAACATACATCTTCGACTAGGGTAGAAATCTTTATCTGCATTACATGCTTACCAGTCTTTCCCCCCCCACACCCCACCTTATCGCAACACTGAACTTACATTTGTGTACCCAGACCATCACAAGCAGGCTTGCCATGCCAAAGCCTATTGTAAGCAAGAAGCACATAATGCCAAGGAAGTTTTAAATTAATTGGTAAAGCTGATCTTGACACTAAGTTTCTTCATTCTATAACCTGCCAAAAAGGAACTTCAATTACCAAAGTCTGTTTAACTATGATCCTTCTGTGTAAAGCTGTTTCCTCTTGCTGGACTGTAAGCTGAGAGAAGATTTTGCTGCTCCTCTTCCCTCACTATAGCCCAAAGCAAAACACCAGCAGGGGATACACTGATGCAAGTCTTTTAAAAAAGACACCTTTGAGATGATCTCTGGGAACAGCAACTTAAAAGGGAAAAGTTTAAGCTTTGTTGATACTTAGAATTTGTTATGCTTGCTGGAAACTGATCTTATTTCCATTTTTGAAAGTAATATTAATTCTCCAGATTGAGATAAGGACTAGTATTTTTTATAAAAAACACTCTCAGATGCATGAGGAAGAAACAAAAATTTACAAATCCCAACCTGCTCTAAGTTGTCAACATAGAGACCGTTACCCAAGTGTCATTGACAAAAGGGGCTTAGTTATTTTGAACACTGGTAGAGTTGAATTCCTGTTCATCATTTCTCAATACTTATCTAGAGAAGCACATAATGAGTTCGAGATTATTGCAAGGCTCTTCCCAGTAGGACCTTGGAAAAGTCTGTCTGAAACAGACTGAAGCACTTCTAAGCTCACCGCTACACTGAACTCCTTCCTCTGCATCAAACCATTGCACTAAGGTAACAAATTCTGGTAATTCCTTTTAGAGTGTTGGGGTTTGCTTCCATACAAGTAGCAAATCTGTAGAAGGCAAGTAATTCCAACCAGACAAGAGTTACACACCAATGTATTGAAAGTTCTGAAGTTGATACTTCAGACCAAGGCCAGGTTCATGCCTCCAGAACCTCTCATTGAGCTGTGACCCACAAGGCTCACTAGTGATAATAAATGGAAGAGGTGTAAAGCTCCGGACTCAGCCCCATGGTTTGGGTTTTACTTTGAGACCTGAAAGGGTTCTTTTTTTCTGCTTTGGACTGAAATATGTACAAGAACTTGTATTTCCTTAGCAATACAGAAGACTACAGAAGACTACAGAAGACTACAGAAGACTACAGAAGACTACAGAAGACTACAGAAGACTACAGAAGACTACAGAAGACTACAGAAGACTACAGAAGCTTGTAAGCCGATGAGGGTCTTGAAGGAACAGGTGATCACTACGCAATTCCTACCACTTGAACTCTCCACTTAGAGACAAAAATCTTGAAAACATTATGGCAATGGTATTATTGATCTTTAGTCCTTTTCTTGGTTCTCCAAAGTATCAACCTGGCCTTTGGTGGCTGCGAATTTCAGCACTGCTTCCTCAGTTCAGCTACAGTTATATACTCTGTGGCATGTTAAGAATTTTTTGGATCTATGTCATGGTTTTTTAGTAGATGAGCCACTAGATGGCACCTAAGGTTTGCTTTCTTTTCCATTTTTGTTCCAGAGGTATTTTTCAAAGGTCTGTTCATCTATAATTAAGAGTTGATGACTCCCATCGGGACTATGTTGGCGGAAAGCAAGATGCAGCAATATTTGAGTGAAAGCAGGGAAAAGTATAGCCATTAAAGGGGGAACAATGACTATAATTTAAATAAGATTTGGGTGGTTGCAGTGTTTGCATAATCCCTCCTGGCATGCGAGAGCAATAGAGAAGCCTGTGGCTTTGCTCTCCTGCTGTGTTTCAACAAAACTGGAAAATTGTATTGAACAGCAACATTTTTCCTATCTTTCATATTCACTCTCTTCTTACTCCCCCTTCCTCCATTCCTTTAAGTGGAACGCAGATTGCCTTGTAATGAAAGTAGTTTATAGCTTGGTAAACTCAGCATTAGGTTCTCTTGTTGCAAGTTTGAGACATAAATTAAAACTTAATACATGTTAACCCAGGAAGGGCAAGTGACATCTAGTAACCTGCATTATGCACATTTTTATTAAGGTCCCCTGGTTTCTGTATCAGTTGCTATTCCTGTAATAGCATAGTCCAGTGCTCTTGTATTTGCCTCTTCTTCCCCCCCTCCATTTTTATGTACTTTTTAAAAATAACTATCATTGTATTTTGGCTTAAAGATGGTTAAATGTTTCGCTATTAAGTAAACTTTTATGACCCTGCCTATTTCCTGTCCTGTCAAACCTTTCCTTGTAAGAATAACAGTGTCCTTTTATTTGGTGGAGTGTAGCATGATGTTTTTGGCAGGCCCAACATTTTTGACTTGCATATATTTGTGACCTCAAGTGCAAAAAAAGTGAATGCTTGCTTCAGTGCCTCATGGTTTCTGCCTAAAAAGAAAAGCGTCCACATCACTAACCATTACAATTTCTGAAGGAAAATTATCAGCACACTTATTCCACCTGATTGCACATGACTGCACTTCCAAAGAAAAGAACCGAAAATAAAAATAAGTATTTTACACCTAGTTATGTAAGGTACTAAAAATCTGAAAATACAGGGCAGACCGTACTGCCTTGCTGGTTTCTAGAACTGGCGCACAGGGCAGTTCCCTCACCAACGCCTACTTGGCAATCACTACCTCAGTCAGGATGCGATTCCGCAAAGTGCCAGTTCGGGTCTGCTGCTGGGCGAAGAATGTCATTGCATGGTTAAAGGTTGCAGGATTAGGTCTGAAGTGAATTAACATAATTATTTTCCTAAATTTTCCCTCCATTAACTGTGTGGTTATTTAGCTTTTTACCACTGAAGTGATGCTTTTCCCCTGCTCTCTTAGAATGCAGCAAGAAAACCTTTTGCCCTGCCAAGTCCAAACACCTGACAGATTATTTTAGTAATTTGAGAGCTCTCATCCAGAGAGTAACTACTGTGTTTTTATGTAAAGCATGCTTAAATAACGTATATGCCTACGTACTTGTTTCCCCCTAGGCTTTGATTTTTTTAATTATGTCACAAAAATGTAATATTGGCTTTTCTGAAAACATTTGTGTAGTAAATTTTTTAACAGAAGTAAGTTTAGTATCAATGAATATTGCTTGTAGTCCTAACATTTAAAGCTAATATCCTTGAACTGAAGAAAGTTATTTTTTGATTATTATTGATTACAGCACAGGAATTTGTTTGCTTTTGTTTTGTAACAAATATTTACGAATATTAGTAACTTTGGCCAGATTCTTTTAACATAAGTATTTTTGGACTAGGAATCCATAAACCACAAAGGTTGTCTCCAAATGTTCAAGACAAAATAACTGTGGGTCCTAGTTGGAAGAAAACTTCCCCTTTCCTTCGCAGCTAAGCTTACTGTGCCACGTCCAGCAAGCACAGCAGTGTGGAGTATTCAGCGCTGCCTTGCTAACACGCCTCAGTGGTGACCACAACCCTCCTGCTTGCAGTAGCTTGTGCTCTGGTCACTGACAGATGACAGGCACCCTTCCTGAGGGTGCATGACAGCCTCAAGGAATCCCACTTGTCAGGTTTTCACAGCAGCAAACACAAAAAACACCAGTCTCACTTTCCTGTGCTTCCATGTAGAAGGGACTGGTGGCAGCGAGCTACACTGTCAGCATTACAGGTAATTCAAGTCATTTATGTTCCGCAAGAATTATTTTTGTGTGTG